AAATATTGATCAAATGCTGTTTCCGACATCAGACTAACAACTTACATTGTACTAGTGGAAATTATTATCTTATCTATCCAGTCTTTGGGTGATTCCATTTTCATTTCCGAGTATAGGCGTTCCACACTTTTATCTTCTCTTTGTTTCTTGGGTCTTTGGTGAGTTTCAACAGCACTGGGTTTCCTCCTTGTTTCATTTAATGCATGTTTGGGAGTGCTTAATTTAAGCAACGGGTCCCTAAAAAATGTGGTAAAAAGTGGGTAATAAGTTGTGGGTCCTTAGAATGTGGGGTAAAAAGTGTGTTTGACTGGCTTAATTTATAATATAAGCTTTGCCAAACATGCACTTAGTTGGTTTAGAATATTGCCAGAAATTTAAGAGTGCTGTCACATGTAAGGTGTAGGACAGATAAAACATGTACTAACTTAACTCAGACGGGCAATCAGTTCCTTTAATTTACTACAAGTTAAAAGTTGGCATTGCATTGCAAATCTTGCTTGTTAAATCATCTGTTCCTTATGCGGAATTTTCATTGATTCGCTGAATATCCATCTGTGTACCTGTTGTGGAAATAAAAAGACAAGAGTGAGGAAGCTTCTTGATGTCAAACCGTCAGAGCTCCAATTTCTGTGTAAGCTGATTGAAGCTTTCCACCATGTTCTCCAGAGTTTTATTTCTTCTATTACTTAAATATCTCACTTACCTTGGTTCTTATCAGTTGAACTGAATAAGGAGCTCTCTTGTTCGTTTCAGTTGTCAAATGTAACTGAGAATCGCGTTGCTTTCAAGGTAAGTTTCTGTTGCTATAGTGAGGACTTATTCTAAAATGTATGTGAATGTTTCTTGACATTTTTTTTTCTAACTGTGCCTTCAGTTCCAGTTGAATTCATTATTTCAGTATCTTTCTTATGGTTTTCTTTTCTTTGGCTTGTCTGAAGATAATCCGTTACTTTTATTTAGGTCGAGACTACGAATACGAAGAAGTATTGTGTTATACCAATGAAGGGGTTTGTTTTGCCTCGATCAACTTGTGATATTACAGGTAGTTATGCAATCACTTTCCACTTTCTTTGGTCTGGCATAATAGTTGTCTTTATTCCATGAAGGCAAGCATATTTAGAATCGACTTTGGATCTTTTGCCCCCTGTTTTATTATGTTGAATGCTTAATTATGAGCTTGGAGAAGCCCAAAGAATTCAGAAGTGTTTAAAATCTTTTTAAACTTCGACCGAGAACTTATCATATAAAATTTGAATAATATCGTCGTTGTTTAACCCTGATTAATTGCAGGATCTTTGTTAATTATTTTATTTTATATGTAGTGAAAATGCAAGCACAGAATGAGTTTCCTGATGCAAAATGCAGTGATAAGTTTCTAATTCAGAGTACAGTTGCAAATTCTGCTGCAACCACAAAAGACATCACTGTGGACATGGTAGTTGATTGGTAGAATCTATATATTAGTGTTTTTTTTTTTTTAGCTTTATTGTCCCCTTCTAGCATCGCTATTGCAGTTCCTGCTTCAAAAGCAAGGAAAGGAAGCTAGAAGTGGATTACCTATAGGAAGAGCGTTTATTTATGTGATGATTCCGGAGTATGGATTGAAGTTTTTATTTTTTATAGTTCAATAAGGCTGAAGAGTGCAAACTTCGAGTGGAGTACGTATTCCAGCCACATCCACCATCAAGGATGTCAGTTACATCAGAGGAAGGTTCTTTACGGAATGTATCAACCGTGGAAGCCAGAAATTTAAATAATCCCGAGGTTGTTTCTTACTGAAACTTATTTCTTTTTGTTTTAATTAGCATCCTCTTGAAAAAAAGTAGACTTTTCATTATGCATCTTTGTTGGATTTGGTGGGTTAGTACAACATTTTGTTGATACCATGCAAAATATATAGAGGTAAAGATTTTGTTGGTATACTCTCCCTCTTGAAACTTGTCCTTTGAGATTATATTGCTATAATGATCAAGAGTCCCTTTAAGTGCATGCATGACATGACATGCTTCAATTACCTAAATATCCTTCCTTCGATATGTTCTTAATCTGACCATCTTCACCTTTTACTAAATATTCACGTTTCTTATCTTATCTATACTAGTGGCCTGCTCATATTCATCTTGATTATCCTCATTTCCACTACTTCATCTTGTGAAATTTTGTCTTTTAATAGCTAAACACTTGGTACCGTAATCTGAGTCTAATAATTATTTCGTGGAAATGACATTTTAACTTTATAGAGATCTTCTAATCACAAAGAATTCATTTACTAATTTATCATTTCATCTAAACCTGCTTGAATCATATGCATTTCACCATCTTCAATCTATAATTTCTTTGACAATAACTGAACTAAAATTTCTGAAAAATGAACTGTTTACTTAAATGACATTGCAGAGCATTTTGGTTGTACTTTAACCTAAAACCTTTTGTTACTTGCTATTTAACTCCTTTCTAGTTTCATCAGCAAAAACTAAATTTTCTGCGAATAATATGCACCAAGAAACTTCACTTAGGAAATGTCTTATAAACTCCTCCATACTAGGATTGAGACAAAACCCTGGTGCAAAGCCTATAGTGATCGACATTTTTTTTTATTACAAACCGCCGCTACATCTCATTCTCATGTTGATATATCTTACATAAGTTCTCTCTCTATAGCACCCATCATTAACACTTTCCTTGGCGCCCTACCATAGGTTTTATTTGTACTTCTGCATAAATCTCCTAAGCGGTTAAAAGGCTCCCAAAGTAGATATCACTGACATATAGCAAACAGATAATTTGATACCTTTGAGGCACACCTTAATTCGTACTCAAAAACCCTCTTCCATAATTTCATATTATACCGTCACGAGCTTAGTATTTCTAGAATTCTATATTCTTAAATATCTCTTTTATTCTAGAAACATATTTGACACTCTTCTTCGATTCATCAAACATTTAAAATCTCGTTGAACCAATTTATCAAAAATACAATATTCACCTCGCCCAAACACTTCCGTACTTCGATCCTGCAAGCATGTATGTGCATTTTTACGAAATTGCCCCTGCATGATTATTCATATAAATTCTGTAATCTGCGCTATTCCGTTACACATCCACAGACTCAACACTTAAAGAAGAAAGGTCGGCTTATGAAATTGTTTTCCTTAATTTGATTGAAAACAGAATAATTTTATATGGAAAGAAAGAATACAAAGATAGAGGACACATATTTGAGGAATTAAGTAACTCTCTCTCTGATATTTTCTGGGACGCATATTTTCAAACATGCAGACACAAACACACAAGAAAATTAGTAGGTAGCACAGAAATGATAAAGGATCTGGCTGTTGTCTCTCTAGAAACAAAATGGAAAATCTTCCAACAATAATTTTTTATTATTATTTATAAAAGAATAAAAAAAACTCAGTCAACAGAATATGCTATTAGATACGTCTGAGTTGTGGTGTACGAAATATAAATTTTACCTCATTAAATTGAGCTGCAGAAAAAAAATGAAAATTTGAAATGGAGAAAGAAATTTTGGTCGGAGATTCTTGATTTTCTTCTCATTGGTTGGAGTTTTGGTTTAAAAATAAATCTCAGGAACCAGATAGCACCGTCTGGTTCTCAGTTAAAAAAACTGAAATCAAATAGAGCCGGACTGAACTGGCTGGTTCAGTTCAGATCCAGTTCTAGGTAATCTTGTCTGTGTTGTATGTTGATAAATTACATCTGCAACCTTTTTGACGTGTGTAGGTTGTACCTGGGCATGACAGAAACGTAAATAATGGAGGTGATATAATCTTGGGCTTAATAATCATTGGCTTGTTTGGCATAGTTATCTGGTACATCATGAAAATGGCCATGCCGCTCATCGGGTATTCATCTTTTGTTTTATACATATGCTCGCTACAATATTTCATAACAAGAATTATGTCTTATACTTGAACACCAC